GTGTCTCGTAAGCTTGAGTCCCCCCTCCTCTCGACCCCGGACCCCGACGAGCCGATCCGAGCGTCGAGCGAGGTGACCGCGTTACACCTTTATTATTAATATTATTACTCTAATTCCTTAAAAAATTATAAAAATTTTTATCCTGTTATTAAGTTTAATAGCGTTTTCGAATGAACGGGTTAACCCAACTCGGTTCAATTAATCACTATATTTTATTATCAATTCAAGCCTTTTATTGGCAGAGACTATGCAATGATGTCATTAATCGCTCTGAGAGTGATTAAACCTGCTACATTCGAAAACGGTATAAGAAAAGTTCATGCATAATATATTTAATTATATTTTTCACTTTTGCAATAAGGTTCGATTGTTCGATGAAGATGTAATTTGTGTAAAAGATTTTATTGATTTCTTCGAACAACGTACGATTTCTAATTTAGCCAGGCTAAAGTAGAAATTGTATGTTGTTCGAAGAGATCAATAAAGTCTTTTACACAAATTTTATTTTTCACATTGAAAAACAAGAAAATTTACCCTGTTTTGCATTAAGTAATAACAATTTTACAGCTTACATTCCCAGTAAGCAATTTGATAACAAATTGTTGCCAAGTTGGCATCAAATTCGCTCAAAACTTGGTAACAAATCCAGTGCCATCTGTGTCCGCATTAAGCTTAGGTATAGTAAGAAAAGAGCATTGTCGAAACGTAACAATCTTGAGCAGTGTGTTCCTCAAGATTTTCAGCAATATTTTCTTTCTTGTAGGTAATACTTTCAATAGCGTTGTTTCCATCAGTCTTATTTTCCACATGCAAATGTTAAAGAATCTAAATAAATCATTTCGAATGTTTATAACAAATATTGTATATGATACTTATGTATTCTAAGTATTAATTAAATTGAATGACAATTATTAAAAAACAAATAAAAATAGTTTGTTGAATATATTGTCTCTCTTGTACACACAAATATACATACCATTTCTAAAGAGATTTCTATCTTTGTCCATTAATAATTCTTTACACTTTGCAAAGCAACCATGTGAAACTTGTCCATTTTCATTACGCCAAACAATCCAGCCGCAATATCCACATTTGAATTTATCCTAATCAATAAAATGTACCACATACAATTGTATCTATTTTTTAAATTTGTAATAAGAATAATTTAACCTAATCTATTTTATAAGTGTGTGTCACGTGTTTAATTTAAAATAATATTTTTACATATAACAATAATGTACCGATGACAACATTGCTTTTTATTTGCTTCGTTGTGGCCAAAAGCGTACGTTGTAAAATGAATCTCGGTAGACACTTCGCGAATTTTTCATATGGATGAGGTTATAAATTTTTCCGTTCCGTAATGGTTCCGTGCCATGGGGAACCCATTGATTAAAAAGCGGAACGGAATTGTAACGGAATCATTCTGATTGGTTACCTTCTATCTGGTTTCTTTTCCGTTACTGTTCCGTTCCGCTATTCTTTCTCCATCGGGATGCACCCTAACCGACGGTTAAAATTAGCAGGGTGGCCAACAGAAAATAGAGGTGAAGGAAAACCAAGTATTCATATCATTTCAGTTGGAACCCTGCTAATTTTAACCGTCGGTTCATCTAACCGGACTTGGTGAAATTGGCCCTAAGTCGTTAGGGTGCATCCCGATGGAGAAAGAATAGCGGAACGGAACAGTAACGGAAAAGAAACCAGATAGAAGGTAACCAATCAGAATGATTCCGTTACAATTCCGTTCCGCTTTTTAATCAATGGGTTCCCCATGGCACGGAACCATTACGGAACGGAAAAATTTATAACCTCATCCATATGAAAAATTCGCGAAGTGTCTACCGAGATTCATTTTACAACGTACGCTTTTGGCCACAACGAAGCAAATAAAAAGCAATGTCGTCATCGGTACATTATTGTTATATGTAAAAATATTATTTTAAATTAAACACGTGACACACACTTATAAAATAGATTAGGTTAAATTATTCTTATTACAAATTTAAAAAATAGATACAATTGTATGTGGTACATTTTATTGATTAGGATAAATTCAAATGTGGATATTGCGGCTGGATTGTTTGGCGTAATGAAAATGGACAAGTTTCACATGGTTGCTTTGCAAAGTGTAAAGAATTATTAATGGACAAAGATAGAAATCTCTTTAGAAATGGTATGTATATTTGTGTGTACAAGAGAGACAATATATTCAACAAACTATTTTTATTTGTTTTTTAATAATTGTCATTCAATTTAATTAATACTTAGAATACATAAGTATCATATACAATATTTGTTATAAACATTCGAAATGATTTATTTAGATTCTTTAGGAACACATTTGCATGTGGGAAATGAGATTGATGGAAACAACACTATTGAAAAAAGTACTGCCTACAAAGAAAATATTGAGGAACACACTGCTCAAGATACAGAAAAACTAGATGAAGATTTAATAAGTGCAGTAAAAGAGAGACCAGTCTTATATGATTTTCGCATACCAGTTTTTTATTTCTTTTACAATTATATCCTTTTGTAAGATGTGTTTATTTATCTGGTATAATACTTGTTTATTACAACATACTTCTTAATTGCAACAGTAATACATTACAATTTGTTTTATATATACAAATTAACTTTGCTTTTGGTAAATTTATTTAATAACAAACGACTTTACACTTTCTGTCAGATATAGAACATACTCTGTATTTGTTTTATGAAGAAAAAATAGTTCTTTATTATTTATTAAACTTTTAGAAATTATTTCTGTTCGCTTTTTCCCATTGTTGTTTAGTAGCTCCAAAAGTACAAAAATATTCCGTAAACAGATCTCGAACAGTACTTCCACGTTGAAATGTATCATCTTCAATCAAAGGAATTTGTAAGTTTTGAAAATATCTATTTATATCTCTTTGACGAATATTTACAGAATATGTTCTATTTGTTATAGGAAGTGCAAGATCGTTTGTCATCAAAAAATTATGCAAACAAACTGTAGCTTTAACAATAGAAACCGCATTATGAACATTTGTTGCTATACCCAGCAAGCAAAATGATGCAAACTTTGCGCAAAGTTTGCAGCAAACCCGAGCATGCCTTTACATGTCATGCCGTGCATGGCAAGGTTTGCTCTGTTATTTGCGTGAATTTTGCGTCTCGTTGTGCCAGAGTATACTTTGCTCTGTTCTTTCCGTAAATGTGTTATCATATCGTGTACAATAAGGTTTGCTCTGTTCTTGTCGTAAATTTGCTATTATTATAGCGTGTATAACAAGATTTGCTACTAATTGGCGTAAAGTTTGTGTTACACCGTGAATTAGCATCATACGTGTTCTTCTATGCGTAAAATTTACGGGCAAGCCTTTTCCTATTATTTACAGCATTGTGAGACGAAACATTTTGCAGTCAATTTGCTTCAAACTTTTTGACAAACCAAAACAAGACAAATGTTTGCTACAAAATTGTTGTCAAAATTAAAGCACACCTTGTCGCAAAGCTTTGGCAAAACGTGATTTTAACATTCTTGGCTATCTGGGTAGGTCTTCGCAAAATTCTCCATCTTGAAGTTAAAATACCAAAAGTGCATTCTACTGTTCTTCGAGCACGACTTAGTCGATAATTGAATACTTTTTTATCTATATTTAAATTATTTCTTCGTGCATATGGACGTAACATATAACTAGTTAATGCAAAAGCTTCATCACCTATTATAACATAAGGTAACTCAGGACCTCTGTCTGAAATTAATCTTGCTTTTGGTACATTTAAACACTTATCTTCGAATAGACGTCTAAGTTTACTATTTTGGAATATACCTCCATCACTTCGTCTTCCTTCAGCTCCAATATCAACTATCGTAAAACAACAATTAGCGTCCGCAACTGCCATAAGTACAATACTGTGCGTACCTTTATAATTGTAAAATGTTGAGCCACTTTTAGGTGGAGCCTGAAATATAAAGTTAAAAATAAGTTAAAAAACAAGAAGTATATATGTACCTTATATTATAATATAAAAATTATATATACCTTGATTTGCACATGTTTTCCATCAATTGCTCCAATACAATTTGGAAAATCCCATAAAAATTCAAATTCCTTTGCTTTTTGGATCCACAAAGCCTCTGTTACTTCAGGAAAAACTTTGTCTTTTAAAACATCCCAAATAGCTTCACAAGTTTCTGCTACAATTTTTGAAACTGTATTCAATCCAACTCGAAAGGCGAAAGAAATCGAATGCATTGTATCACCTGACGCTAAATAGCGTAAACAGATTTGCAATCGCATAGACGCTGATATTGGACTTCTTATAACATGTTTTTTTGTGATTCTTAATTCAAGTAACTGCAATAAATTGTCAAAGGATTCTTTAGTCATTCGCAAATATTCAAAATATTTTGCAGAATCATCATTTGCCATTTCTCTAATTAGATTGTTACTATCTCCTTGATAATATCTCTTTTCTTCAGTAAAGATTGATCGAACCCAAAGTTTTGATTGTTTTTTTTTCTTTGTTTTCTTTTTTTTTAACTGATGCAGTAAGAAAGTTTTAACTAATTGTCTTCTTCGCATTTCTTTGTGCCAATTTAATTGTGTTCTTTTCCATTCATTAATTTTATTTATTAATAATACTTTTCTTATATATCTCATTCTTTTTTTGAAATATTCGTTTTCTACTGGTAAAACATTTGTAGAAATTGAAGACTCTAATATACTGTTATACTCATCTTCATGAGCTTCTTCATATTCGTCCAAATCATACAATTGTATCTATTTTTTAAATTTGTAATAAGAATAATTTAACCTAATCTATTTTATAAGTGTGTGTCACGTGTTTAATATAAAATAATATTTTTACATATAATAATAACGTACCGATGACGACATTGCTTTTTATTTACTTCGTTGTGGCCAAAAGCGTACGTTGCAAAATGAATCTCGGTAGACACTTCGCGAATTTTTCATATGGATGAGGTTATAAATTTTTCCGTTTTGTAATGGTTCCGTGCCATGGGGAACCCACTGATTAAAAAGCGGAACGGAATTGTAACGGAATCATTCTGATTGGTTACCTTCTATCTGGTTTCTTTTCCGTTACTGTTCCGTTCCGCTATTCTTTCTCCATCGGGATGCACCCTTAGTCGTTAGTCGTAAGTAAATTGACCAAACAGTCGATTATTCCAACAATATTCTAGGAATAATCGACTGTGGTTGGCCAATTTGCTTGCGACTAACGATTAACGACTCATTATAGACCGGGCATTACTAAAATTGTGGTTACTGGGTAGATTCCTTATAATAACTTTTATTTACATTTTTGTTAAAAATTATATTTTAGATTAAATTATTTTAAATTAATTTTTTTGTTGATCTGTTTTTAAAATAATTATTAATTTTATATCTCAATTGCTATTAGATATTTTCTACATCATAAATATTTCAATAAAAAAATCAGTAATGGATATCTGTTATGAATGTTTGTGCATGTATGTTTATATAGTTAATTTTTACTGCGTATCTTCTAACAATTGGCAAACACCAATTAAGTAGAATTCTTTACTTTTATTCTGTACTTTTTCATTATAATCATAATTAATTTTATAGTTTGAGATATCAAGTGACGCGGTAGCATTCAATCTTTTTCTTTTTGGCAGCTACTTAGTGTATATACACAGTACATATGCGTGAAAAATATATTTTACATATATAAAATTACATATACAAATACATATAATATATACATATATAATACATATATAATACATAAATATAATACATATATAAATTACATATATAAAATTTTACATATATAAATTGATACAGAAGTACAGTGAAAAGCATTATTTTTTTATGTTATAAGTTTACTTTTTCATTTAACATTTAGCATACATAACCTTGCATGATTTTAAAAACTAAAGGTGTAGCAAAAGTTTAGTAATTGAAACAAGACTTTACTTTTTAACAAGTATCGTGCATCTCCAGATCACAGAGCTAGATATGTTGCCTAATATTTTTAATAAAGAATAAAACTTCTATCGATTATCTACTCTCATGTTCCACATATTTTACTATTCTACATTTATTATTTTACTTACGTATATGTATGTATAACTACAATATAAATGAAAAATAACTGGTCAAATGCCCGTATCAGACTACGCATTGAAAATTGAAGATTGAAGATTAAAGATTGGAATTTGACTAATCAAAACAAAAGGGACTAAAATTTCTTTGTCCTGATTGGTCAAATTTCAATCTTCAATCTTCAATCTCAATCTTCAATGCGTAGTCTGATACGGGCTTTACGAAGCTTGCAGCAGCTTGCGCAGAATCTGTGATCTAGAGTAGCGATAGTACTCTTCTTATACAATACTCTTCTTTCTTTCTATAATATTTAGATGATTTTATTACATTTATTCATTTAATATTTTTTGTACATTTATAACAAAATATATCATTACTAAATAAACTGCTTATTTCTGTATCCTTTTAACATTATTTATTCTGTAGGCTAAATTCATGAAATGTATTGGTGGCTCAGAGACGCACGAATTGGTTCAAAATATTTTAGAAAGATTCATGACTAATCAGTTGGCTACATTTTTCAACATTCAAGGCAAAAACTTAAAAAAAAAAGATGACACGCAGCCGAAAATAGCGTTTACAAATACTAATTTATTCAAATGTATAATGAGTAAGTTTTTATGATAATGATGTCAATTATATATAGTATAAGTGTGTACAATTTAATTTATAATCAATTACAACTTTTAGAAGCTGCTCATCTTCATCGTAGTAATGTTGACGAGAATAATGTGCAACATAAAAGTATTGCACCTTGGTTAGCTCAAGCAAATTTACGTTTATCCAGAGAAAAGTAATAATACTAATTTTATATAAAAGCTGTATTGTATAAGTTGTGACGTTGCCGTCTCGCGCGCGTCCGCCGAGTCCCTCTC